CCCCCCCCCCCCCCCCCTCCCCCCTTCCCCCCCGGTGTTTGTTATCGGGGTTTGGGTTTTCGTTGCTTGGCAACGTTGTGAAACAAGCCATTCGTCAACCTTAAGTGGTATGCCCTTGTTGTCTTTGTAGAGACTGTAGTGCTTGATGTTTAGATGCTTGTTATCTCACACACCCGGTTGGGGGAACAGAGCAGGGAGTGCCACGCACACGACAGCTGACAGCCGCTGGCGTGGGAACTCCGCACAATAATTCTCTGGTCGTACTACCCAACGCATACCTATGTGCAGGGCACCTGAAACAGTTATCTCGTCTACAGATCCGACTGCATATACGCACTCACACGAAATAAGCCGCCCTCCCCCGGTGTTTGCCCTCCCCCCGGTGTTTGCCATCGGGGTTGGGTTTTCGTCGCTTGGCAACGACGTTGTAAAACAAGACAATTCACTTCGTGAACTCGGCAACCAGGTTACCGTTTTTTTTTTTACCTCTTTTTTTTTGGCGGTAACCATAATGGTGGTCGAGTAGATTATGTTGTGCGGGATCGAGAACCCTCACTTCGCGCAAGGGGGTAATCGCACTACGTTGTGTTAAAAGTGGTCAAGCACCCTCGAGGCAGTTACACAAGTCCTTACAATTGTTTCTGCAAGTGAAAGCACCAAAAAATGAATTGATGCATACGCAGCTGTCATCCGTATGCAAGGAAGTAAGCACAAGATGCCGAACCCCCTCAGCAGGATGCAGCGCACCCTTCATGCGACTCGCCGAATAACTCACGGCGCNCCCCCCCCCAAATGTGAACCCTGCCGGCTGTCTAGTGCTGCTTTCTCCCCAAGCACACCAGCACACAGCAGCTGTTACCCAACGTGGAGACCTAGCTGGCGGCAACACCTCGGCTTGCTACCACAGCTGTGTTACTGGACCATTCAATGATCAGTCAGAACACCTTGGAGGCTGCTGTGTTACAACTGTTGGCATCATCAGTGGCGAGGCTAAACTCACGTCCAGAAACCTTTTTTTCGGGCCCTCGCCTGGAGTCGTTACTCTGAAAGTCCCTTCTCTGCAAATCAAAAATTGTAGTGGCATTTCGTATTTGTACGCGCCACACGGTGGCAACGTTAAGTTCCAGGACATGTCGTTTCGTAACGGCAAGAAAGGGGGGGTTGGGTGTCGGCGAGTTGCGTGTGTCTTTTTGTTTTGCTTTTTAGCCCGTCTACACACTTCGGACTAAGTTGTGTACCGGCTGACGAGTTCGTTGTCTCTATGACCCCTCGTCGGAGCTCGTCAGGAACAGAGAGGCAAAGACCATACTGTGTGCAGAACGAGCGACGAGTGATAGTGGGACGTTAAGAAGGAGATAAAGAGAGGGGCGTGCTGATGTTGAGAAGCACCAGGTGAAGAAGACATACCCTAAAGTGCCTCTCTCCCGTTGCCCTGTTTACGCACACCGGATACCATGGAATTACAGGATGCTTCAACGGTCGCTTGGTGCCGAGACCGATTCAAAGGTAAGTTATTAATTGTAGGTCCATCTGTGCCACCCTGTTCCATACGTGGCACGTGGTGCGCGTTTACGTTCATCGCCTCTCCTGTTGAGTTTCACAATCCGGAGAAAGCTCCAGAAATCACAAGTGAGGCCTGAAAGTATATATGTCCATTTTTACCTCTCTGCGCGTTCTCTCCCTTGTCTTATGATTGGGGCATATTGTCCCATTCGAAGACCAAAATGTGAAGGCCCGCACAACATTAAAGAACTCGAACGCCTGCGGCATCAATGTGTTGATGCATGTGCTGCATGGCTTTCATCATGGGTGAAGGGGGGCAAGTGCATGGATGATTCAGCTATAATTGGCTCGGTGCTGACGGGTTTAGGACCAAAACATTTTTTTAGGCATGCAGTATGCCGCGTGAAAGTTTCCACAACGTGGAGTGTCCCACCGTTTTGTCTCGCGAGATCTATTCTCGCTTGGGGGTGGCCGAGTGTCCACCCGACGTGATACGCTGTGATGGGTTCGCGGCTTGGTCGTTTTGTCGTAAATACTATCATTGTGATAGTATCGTTGTGCTGTCGGAGTCATCAGTCTGCCTTTCGTCTTCTCTGCCCCCCTCGCCCTTTCCGATAGGTTTACGAGAAGAACCTCCACGACACCATGGCAGAGTTCCCCGAGCTTAGGAAGCAGCGCAAGATTGATTACTATCGGCGAGTCGGGGGAGCCACCTCACGGCGGTAGTGTTTGCAACACTGACACTCCTTACACGCCTGTGACAATGTCGGAGCGATCGGAGCGACACTCCGTGTGTAGGCTATGTACACGACTTGGGTCGGGTGCGACTGCCAACCCGCTTGAACGAAGTGACGTCCATGTTGGCTGTCTGAGCGTGTCTTGGTTTTTTCCTTGAGCCTGAGCGGCAGCTACTGTATTCGTGCGTTTGTGTGTCGTGAAGGCCGGCTCGAAGAGTTGCAGGGACACTTGTAGCACCACCCCACCTGTGGTGGTCGCTGTCTTGACTGTGGAATAGCTTTTGCTACTTTCACTCTGGGCGATGACAACCAATAGTTCTACGAAACCCTTTCGTGTGACCTCTCTCTTTCCATGCATTTCGCTTTTCTTGAAATGAGCTTTCTCGCGCGTGGCTTTCGTTTTTTCAGCTCGCTTGCTCGCGGAGGGTATAACCTAGACCAACGTTTTCCGAAAAGACTGTTATTTTGACAACCAAAATTTGACAACCAATGCAAGTTCCTTGCTTGTATCATTCATGGTGATCAGGGTGTACTGCAAAATCCAACGTTTTTGTTTGTCGATGTGCCCATGATCGTCCCCGTTCTAAAGGAGCTTCTAGCTCGTGATCGTGTTGAGCAGTGATTGGTGCATGCTTCCACGACTGTGGCAGGCCGCCCGGAGTTCCTGAATAGTGTTTTGTTCTGACTGTGTCTCTGTTGCGATTCTGTTGCGATTCTGTTCTGTGTTTGATGTTGTGCTGGAGCAGGGTATTCAAGCTCATGGACGAGAAGGACAACGCTAGGGAGCGGCGCAGGAAGGTTTTCGAGTATTTCAACGGCGCTATTTCTAGACAAAACAAGTGAGACGAAAGTGTTCAAAGTGATGTTATTTCGTGAGCAACGGCGTGATGTTTTAACAATTATTGCACTTCGCCAGGCACAACGAAGAGCGCACCATAGATGTGTCCTTCAATAGACGTCGAGAGGTTGTTTTTGAACCAGTCGACATGTACATGGGTGCTTTAGTGGACCAAACTTATCTGCTGTCATTCAATGTTTGATGAGCTGGGATTTCGTTCCTTGTTCGCGGTAGTTGCTTTTTTGTCATGTGCTTCTTGTTGTGCTACCGAGCAAACTGCTGTACCCGACCCTGCCCTATTTTGCTTACAAGTGCGTCTTCTTTGTTGCAAATTGTAGTGGAACCCTATTGCTGGTATGAACTTTGAGAATACTAATCCCCTCCTTGTCCAACCATCTAAAACTTGGATTGATCCACCCGTCGGTCCATCCGTTAACCCTGCTCTTCCTAATGGCAGGTTCCAGGCGGGAGATATCTACGAGGTCTCCCGAGAGCTGCTGATGCTAGTAGACGGTGAGGTGTTGCCAGTAGGTGCAACGAAATGGCCGAGCGGGGGGAAACAGGGTTCGAAAAGTTTCCGAGGGGAACGCCGCTTTACACGTTTTGCACAAAATTGAATGATATTGCCGAAACCTAAGAACGGCATTGTTGCTGGTCCTCGCGTAGGCCGTTCATGCGTTTGTCTGGCATACTTTTGCTATCACTCTTTGCGCTCTCTACCTCTGGGTGTGACTGTCGTGGTGTGCCTGCTACGTTCAGGACGATCATTACACATTTTCCAATCGTTCAACCCATGGCATTTCCGAAGTCCAATGCTCCCTCCCTCTCTCCCCCGTTACCTCCCCAGTGGCTATACGGGCTGACTCATTGTTTTCTGCCTTGCTTGCTTCTTCATCACGTTGCTCGGCAGCAACGATTTAATGATCGGTTATTCCCCTTGATGATTCATACTAAAACAGAGTTTCGGGAGTTGCTGGATCGGCTCTTCTCGTGGTGTGATTTGTGTTTGCCGGGGAACGAGCAGGCGTTTGCGGAGTCGCACCGCCAGAAGATTCAGAAGTTTCAGGTCCAGATCGTCCAGGAGATGAAGCGATCGAACAGCGCTCGCTCTCAGGTACGTACTTGTACTGCTGTGGGACTTGGAGCAGCACGTAAAGAGGCGAAATCGCCATTCAGAACTGTGTTGGGTCTGAATGAGGGCAAGGAGCATGCAAGGCGTGGGCTTAGGAGGCGGAGTAGGAATGGGGGTGGGCAGACCCTGCTCGTTCTCGTGTTCGGCGTAGAGTTGGGATATGGGCTATGATTAAAGGAGTACGGAGTAGGTATTCAGGGCCAAGTCAGGGGCATGTTTTTTTCATTTGCAGATGCATCGCTCGCTCTGATGTGCTGCGAACGGTAAGGACAGGACACACGAGATGGAGCTGTACAATGCTGCATGGTGTCAAGCAAATCGTGCCCGACAAATTGTTTTCGGTCCCATGACGTTGTTACCGCTCCCCCGCCCCTGCTGCCCCTTCCCCAACTTTTCTCTCTTTCGTTTGCGCATTGTTTGCTTGAAAGGTCAACTCCCAATTATCCCTGAGAGTCGAAACGCTGCGGCACATGTTTTCCACCAAGGTAAGAGCGACACATGAACACGATCGCCTATCATTACGGCATAGTTTCCCCGGCCGTGAGATTCGCAGAATCTCGGAGTCTTGTATCGTGCCATGAGTGAGCGCGCGCGTCGTACACGGTTGGACGGGACTTTTCGACCAGCCGACCTTGGATCCTAAAGAGCGCGCCCGCTGCGTGTCTTGTGAAAAGGATTGTAGCCTGTAGCGGTACGGCTGTGCGGTCGGCAAAGAATCATATAGTGGAGTAGTCATGGCGGTAGGAAGGAGGACCAAGGAACAGGTGACCACTTGCCTCGCTACTCACTACCTACTGGAGAAGCGTGCCTCGATTTCTCTACCGTTTGAACCCGCTTGCGACGATCAAGCGGTGATTTCGCCCTCATTCCGTGGAAGCGTACACCCTTACAGCTATGCGAGTTACGCGCTTTTTCCACGCATCAGCCACCAAAGTTGTCGTCGTCCGAATTTGCAACAGCCTGAAGGCGTTGAAGCGTGGCTGAGGCAGTCCCAGACTAGAATAGGCCTACAAGTATGTAGCGCGAGTGTTCCGGGTCTCAACATCCGCTGAAAAATTGCCATACGCTGCTTCGGCGGCATTATCTCTCCCTTCAGCCTTATACTGTGCCGGTGTCGATCCCGGCTGTTGGTGCATGCGACTGTGCTACGCTCCGTTTCGTCGCCGCAGATGCTGATGTTGCTTTTTTTTTTGAGATACAGTACAGTATTGAGGTTCTGGTGCCCTCGTCGTTCTGTTCGTTGTTTCTTGTTCCATGCCGTGCAGGAGGTGGCCGGGGGAAACCTCGAAGCGTGGGAAAAGGCTCACCACGACTTGCTTACGTCGCAGGTATGGTGTGCGTTGTATGGTGTCGTATTGTATTTCGCCGACGCATGTCAGCGACGCGTCGAAAACAATTCGCAAGAGGTGGGAAGTCGGGAGAGTTGCGGAGGGGAATCACCGAGACTTGACGAACAGATGACTAGACAAGTTATTGGCAAAATTGACTCGTGTTCAACGCAAAGTTTCTCACGGATGTCGACATACCGCGACCCGCTGTCTTATTTTTAGAGCCAGCTAACGTGATACGCAAGGTTAAGATAATTCTGGCTGGAACAAGCGACAAATGACGCGTTGTTTCTGCTTCTCTGCCCTTTCGGTCGCATTTGTCTTGTTGGGTCCCTACCCGTCCCCGCAGGAGTCGAACGCTTACTTGCAAATGGGACGGAGTTGGGAGCAGGTGAGGGAATACTGTAGTCGGAAAGCCATCCTCACGTCGACAACATTGACGACCCCTAGTACGAGAATATTGATGGTGGCGTCTCCAGGCGGCGATGGGGACCATTTGGTGGACCAATGAAGATAGGGAGGGAAGCACGCGAAATCAGGGAAGACTTTTTCTCGAAAACGTTGTCGACCATTGACTGTTTTGAGACAGTGCCAAGCGTTATTTTTCTCCTCTATTATCCCCCGCTCGATCGTGTTACATATGACGAAAGCGATCCTTGTACGATGATATGATATGAGTGGTAGACACAAAGATGGGGTTAGTTCGTCTCGTGCACTAGATTGCAGAAGGTGAAGTACCCACATGCTCGTGGTGTCTTCGGAAGATCGAACGGTGTGTTGTCTTGAATTCGTGGTCAACGGCGAAATTATAATGGGAAGCAACAAGTAAGATGGCGACTTTCTCCTGCTCGTGCTTCGCCTGCTTCGCCTGCTTCGCCTGCTTCGCCTGCTTCGCCTGTATTTCCTGCAAATTTTCAGATCTTGGAGTCCCTGTTGCTCCTGTACAACTATTGGAAGGTGTGGTCTGCGTTCCTGATTTTGTTTTTCTGACAACGTTTCATTTTGGCCAGTGTTTGGTTGTGGTCATGCTATTGCTCCTCTTTTTATTGAAACACCCCTACGACCAGTGAACATCTCGCGGCGCTCTTTACCGAGAAAGACTATAGTCCAGGCGGTGGGTCTGCACGTATCCGTGAAGACCATGCACGAATACCGCTTCGAAAACAACTCAAGTTTTGGATCCAGAAAACGCTAGTTCTTGAGCACGTACGGCGACAAGCGAAGAGATTGCTGAAGCTTGCTCGCAAAGCTAATTGAAGGCGTACATGGCGGTAGGAATTAATCCCTGTCTGTGTGGGCGCCGTTGGTACTCCCAAAAGTGTGCCGAGAGAGGTGCAGGTGTAGAACCATACGTCCGCAGTAGATGAGATGGGAAAAGGAAACTTTGACTGTTATACACGAAACCACCGGTGCATAGCGGTCTTGTTGAAGCTGCTGTCGGTTGTGTCGTTGTACTCCGCCCACTTCCAAAATGGTTCATCGTCAGGGAAAACCATTCGATGGCGTGTTTTGCCCTCCCCATGCTAGAAGCGCCTGCTTTGACAGGTGGTTTGGCTTAAAGATGGGCCCGTAGTCGATGCTTTCAATGGCTTCGTTCGGCGAGCAACGAACTACCCCTGTTTCCACACTGGCTTCTTGTGAATTAAACATGCAGGTGAATCTGAAGGACGATAACATCGTATTCGGGGACGCGGGGAAGTCCACCGGCAACGATTACTTTGCTTGACTTGAATGAGGATTATCAGCTATTTTGGTGCTTGTTCACGGCAACGCGTCCCGGATGCATGTCAAGGTGAATCAAGCGGGTTCAATCATCCGCGCCGGAGTGTAGCACAGGGAGTAAACCTGTTGCTCGGAGGACGGAGGCGTCACAACTGCAGACTTGGCGTAGGACGGCCTGATACTCTGCTACATTGTCCCTCGGTATTGTAGACACACCGTGTTTGGTTGTTCTGTTGTCGTGGCGTTCTTCGGTGTAAGTAAACGTGTGGCGCATTCATCCGTGTCCTGGTGTAACATTTCTTGAGAGCACAGCTGCAGCTGAAAGAAGAGAGCAGCAAAGGTGCTACTATATGAATGGGTCGGAAAACGGTTGTCTCAAGCAGCCGGACGGCCGTGTTGTGGCAGTTGTTATTTATGTGCACGGTCTCTGTGCCTCTCTTCTGCATATTTCCATCGCGTCTATGCTCAGCTTCGGTATTATTAGTAAAGGTTTTGCGAAGCGTTTTGTTTCTAACGACACGGGGATATTTTGCGCGGTCTCTAGAATCTAGCAAGCTACCATAGCCTTTGCCGCAGAGCAGGAGCGACAGGTTGTATCAGTGGTGACTTTCGTGGAAATCATGTCCAATGGTACAACGAGCGGTTACGCGGTGGCTTTTTTTTTTAGCGATTTCTCCACGTCAACACCCTCCTCGTATCCTGGCTCGTACGGAACCGGAATCGGTGTGTGTGACTGTAGTTCGACTCCGGCTGTTGATGGATTGTTACAAGCAACGACTGGAGCATGTTCTGCTATAGACCTCTCGCCTCTTATGTCAGACTCCAGTTGTGTGTTTTTCGATTTCGGGCTAGTGTAGTATCTGTTCTCTGCATGAATAGGCCCCAGCAGTTACTGACTCACACGCTTGATGAGGTACCATGTCACTGTGTGCAACTTGTGCTTTTTGAATGATATCGGGCGGGGTCAACAGTTTCTTATATCATATTGTAGGGGCTCTGGAATTTTCTAGAGAGCATTCTTGAAACAAGTCCATGGCTTATGCTCTACTCGTGTGGGATACCACGACGGTCTTGTCGTTTTAGGTCTTGACGGACGAACCCCACCCGACTTTTTTAGTTCATTTCTTTTCAGTTTTTGTGGAACACGACTTTCCGTTTTTCTCCGTGACGCCGAAGATTTTGTATCGTTTTCATAGTCGTTTGGTTGGATGAAAGGGAGGTGGGTTGGTGTACTTGCAATAGACACTGTGCCCTACATGAAACCTCGACAGAGAAACGGGGTTCGGTTTCGGAACGATAACCAAGCGAGGCGTTTGCCCTTCTGATGAGATGTTAATGACGCTACGTGTACCAGACGATACGGGCCTAAGACTGCGGCCCCGACCTCGGCGGCAGTCGGGACGTGCTAACAGGAGGCTTCCCCTATTGGCTTTTTCGCACGAGGGTAGACAGTAGTCACCTTGTCGAGCTGGGTGGGTCCACGGATGATGAGCCTACCCTTGGTTGGCGAGAGGTATCATCGCCGTCATGTGTTCGTCGCTCCGGGGCGGCGGAATGTTCCCTGATGATTGGCTGCAAAGGCATTATCAGTTAGAAACAGATTTATTCGCCTCGGCCACCTGTTACGGCTTTTGAGTCCGCCGACTTTCATCGAGGCAGCGGTTACTCAATGCAGACAAAACGGAACTGTTTCGGTCGTTCAACCGGGGGCGTACGCGCGACGCTAAGACAAACGAGCTGCACGTGGAATACGAAGTTCTTGTCACCATGGACGTTATTGCGTCGATTTCCCGCTTGTGCGTGGACATGGTACATGAACGTGGCAAAAGTGACACGATGCTCTGTTTTCCAAGGACGAGGTGGTCAATACGATCATGCAACAGGCAATGGGTACGACAGCACGGGCAGGACCACAGACCGACTCACAAGACCTCACCCCATACATCCAGCTGCTAACCCTAAACTGCCGCGCCCTTGAGCAAGAGTGCTATAGTCTAACAGCTCTATTTGGTGGTGGCATCCCCGTCCGCCTTCGTTGAGCCCCCCCCGAGGGCTCCTGCGTCACCATCTGCAGCGTCACTCTTGTCCCTAGCATCCACTCTACCGCTGCGATTGGCATCATCATCGGCATCATTGTCATTGCTTCTGACCCCGCTGTGCTGCTTGTCGTCACCATCGCCACTTTTGGTGTCTTCATCTTCGCCTTCGTCTTCTTCGCTCGCCGACGCGTTCGGGTCTAGTCCTGCTACAACCCTGGCCGCGCGCTTTTCTTTCCACTCCACCAAGGTCGGTATCCGGAACGTCTCCATATTGTCGGTCCCATCCCAGCTGGGAGTACCAAGGAAAAATTCATCGTGGTCGTTGGGGGGTACAGAGTTGCAAGTACAGAGGGAAGGAACACAGGGAATTAGTGGGCCAAGACGCCATACATGGAGGACGTGCGCAGAAGCATTGATACTGCCCATGGGAGACCCGCATCGATCAACATGGAATCCCCGTCCCATCGGACATCCTTTGGGCCGAAATGGGCGACCCGTGGACCATGGTGCCTTGTCATCGAACGCCGCGGGAGGTCGATGGATAGTCCATAGGACGCCCACGGGACGCCCTTGAGCAGTCCAACAGCGCCCCATGGCCTCCCGGTGGGCCGTCGGTGGCAGCCACGGGCAGCGATGCGTGACCCATGGAAGGGAACACTTCGAACCATCTCTGAACCATCCATAGACCAGCCGCGGCAGGGCGTGAACGCCCCAGTGACCCCCGTGCCCTAAAGATCGCACGACGCCTGTTGAGCGACCAATGGTGGGTATTTGGTCTTGGGCGACCCGTGCGACATCCCGAGGGTAGTCCGAACAAGGTGAACCGGAACGTGCGACGATCTATGTAGATTTTTGTGCAATCGAGAGCAACCACGTGGTATACACGCTGTGTTCCGCCGGAAACCTATCTGTAAAAATAGTCCTTACTTGAGCCTCTCGGACAGGTCCGACGGTGCCTCGTCCCAATTGCGGTCGTCTGCTGGGACCTCCATCGTTCTGTACTCGGCCTGACCAACATCGGACAGTAGCCCCGAAGTTGATTGGCGGCACACAACAGATTAAACATAATCAGCCGTTAGTTTTCTCGATGAATCACAGGCCGTGGGTATGAAAAACCATGTACCAAGCAGTGGCAACCTTATCTAAGCAACAGCCCGTCATATCACGCCATTGCATAACACTTGTCTAAACCAAACGCGTTCCTGGTGCTGGTAGCATCAATAAGAAGGGAATAGATTATTTTACTGTATCAAGCTACAAGGTAAAGCCTCCTCTCGATGTGTAACCGGGCACGCCGATATGCCATGGGGGCCTTTCCTGAACCCTCGGTTGCTGCACAGACAGTATCTCTCAAATACATGGGTGCACCGTGTGTCTCTCAGACAAATGGGCGCACCGTGTGTTACTGTTGGAACATTTCATCCTCCTGGGTGTCTTGTAACATGGCCTTTCTTATCGGTCATGGGTTCGTGGTCTTTCTCTTAGTCGTTACAAACCGTATCCAAGAAATATATCGTTGCGATGTGGATCACTGCATGCACTACAATCATGAAGTATGCATTCCGGTAGCGTTGTGATCTGGCGTATACACCCGACGATGACTCCAATATTGCATGAGGGACTGCGAATTGGACTGGATTCACCTTACTCTTTGCATGGGTTCGTTGCAATGATTGCAGCATCTCATTCCCCAACAGCAACGTACGTACCACGTTTTCAGGCCTTTCGCGTCGATCTGCTGCGACACAGTTTCTCTCCTTCGCCCACTTCCCAAAATCTTCCCCGTCCATACCATCCCATGGCCTCCTCCATCCTTCCTAGAATTCCCATTGTCGGGTCATGGAAAACAGAAAGCAAGGGAAGGTGGGACTTGATCTCAGGGGGATGAATGTAGCGACCTACCCAGCCAGGGGAATCTGGCGGAAGGCACGCCAGTTGAGGAGTATCTGGTTGATCATTCCCCAGTTCTCTTGGTCCATCTTGGAGGCACTTGCTGAAGCTCAAGCCTAACCTACTGGCAACCAACGTGTCTCACTGGCTCGTCTTCCGACAAAGGAAGAATTCGTAGGAAGTGCTCAGGAGTGTTTAAACACAACAAGTTGTGAAGGCTGATGCGCGAGCCAAGTCAATACTCGACGTGTGCACCAGTCTGGCCCGTAAACAAAACACAAAGCCATGCAATGCCTCGTCATGTTCCTTGTACGACCTAGATTTTCGACCTTGTTTGAAAGGGTCAGGTAGCAACATCTCGTTCATCGCAGAATCTGTCAAAAAGGTCCCGACTATGCATGGAAGACAACTACGAGCGCTACGAATATTTGAATGCGATGAAAATGATATGAAACACCAAGTTACGCCTTTCCAGGCCCTGGGGTTGTCAGTAGTATCACTCGCGTGTAATGCCCGCGCCCTGTTCATCTTGAAATATATTGCATCGGGTGCAAATTGCCGACACTTTCAGCATTGATTTGGATTGTCCGTCCCGTTGCAGGAATTCGCGATCATGGCACATCTCTCTTGCAGCCGGTTAACTCAGCGAAATAATACATTCAAGCGAGCAAGGGAGAAATCGCAGAGAACTGAATTCGATCGAACCGCCTAACAACGTGGTCTCCAGGATACGATAGAGCAGCACGTAGTGACCAAGTTTATTGCTCACCTTCAGCGCCCTGGTCCTGTTCCTGTTCAAGATTTCAGTGTACTCGACGTAGCAGTACTTGTCCACAAGGCTGTCCTCAAGCTGAGCCGCTATCTCCGGCACCCTCTCCTTCAGTTTGACCTTGAGGTGGGTCCTCTCGAGCTCCAATGCTTCAATCTGGAAGGTCCGAGGAATTTTCGATAGTCTAGACATCAATTGTTTGTTGAAAACTTTTAAATATTGCGTCCACCCGCCGTTGGTCGACATGGGTAGTTTCCGAGTCAATAATTATGTTGTTTTGTCGTCGTCGTAGCCGTCGCCGTTGTTGCTGCCTAAAATATGTTGATAGTGCCTACATCGTGCAAACAACAGCATCCGAGGAAACCCCGCCACTCGCAAAAAAGATAGATGTTGACAACAAGCAGATGAAAAGCACAAAAAGGTTAGGAAAATCCTAACAATTGGAGGACGTCAAGCCCATTGCCCAAGTGGAAGCCGAATCTCGAGCAACACCCTGCAGCATGATGAACATTCATGATGAACATTCATGCATGAATGGATGAACATCACCATGGCTATTTCATTGGTATGTTTGCTAGACCCTACTAGCCAGTACACAGCCAACCACATCGTTTACCTTACCATACGAATCTCACGCAAATTCTGGCAATATTAGTCACGAACTTGGCAGGGCAATGGGTCTGTTCTATGTATGAACTTGGCAGGAGCTCTTCCGTTCTCTGTCCGAGTTCAAAGTTTTGACGGCTCCACGTATTGAATTGGTATAATTGAATGTGTTGATTGTGGAGTACGGAAAGCCAAGGGTCTGACTGACTTCATGCAATTACTCAGACCCAAGGATGTACGAAAAAAAGTCTTGCACACGTAGGTACTCCGTTTTGCCTCAGGAGGGCGGCGGGGGGGGATACTAAAATCAAGTAACAATATCGATCCAAAATCGTTTTTTCTTGTTTGCTTGGAATTCTGCACCATCTTTTTTTTTTATTGTTACCACCTCTCTAAAACCCTTGCCAAACATGGTGGATTTCTCTATTTGCTGATGGGCATGTGCGTTGATCGGTAGACTAGTTTACTCTGATCCATACGATGTTCGTGCACCCGTGGGTTGATCGATTGTGGGGGCAAAGTGACTCACTTCATCTCGCTTGTCGTTGACTTCCTTCTCCGCGTTCTCCACAAGAGCGGTAGCCTCCTCGGTGTTGGCCAGAGAATGAAAGTGGAACGGCTCTCCGTTGTCGAACTGCGTCTTTCGCTGCTGCGCGAAGACTAGCAGCTCCTGCTTCAGCGTCACCAGCCCCTGTATCAGGCGCGAGGAAATTTCGAACGATGGTAAAATTTGTGGCCATCTCGGGCGTTGTGTTTACCCGTTACCCTGGGAGGAAGCAGAGAGCACCCTAGCTTTGTAGACTACACGTGTTTGTCAATGGTGGAGACCCAGACGTGAGCGGTATGATTTCACACCAGATACTGCATACCCCGACCATATGATGGAGCTACAGAACAACGGCGACGTCTAGAGTGGAAAGATGAAACTATCTAAAAGGATGGGGATTGGCCGACGAAAGCTGCAGTGGTTGTCAATGTGGTGCACATTGTTACAGTGTTGCTGCTACTCTTTCCTACTTCGTATGCGGTTAGTGGCCTTCGAGACACCCGTTGAACCACGTGGAAAACACATGGGCGAGGCGCTCACCTGCAATTGGGCAATGGAAGCGTCGATGATGCCAACCCTGAACGATTGGACCGCTTTTCGCTTTTTGACCTCATCCGTGACTCTAGTGCTGCCCTGTTTCGTCTTGATCCACTTCCGCACCTTCGTTCACATCAGGATGGTTCGTATCCGCACATGTGGGTCACGCCATATTTTTGTTGTCTTCACTTCAAATCAGCGCTCATGCATTTGTCATATGTGACGCCGATGATCAAACGCTGTGCTCGAGGGGAATCGACGGATGGATCTATCTTGCTGATAAAAGCCGAATAGATTCATGTGGCGACTCTTTGGGTGTGTAATCTACACTGCACTTTTTTCACGCGCCATGGACGTGGGGTAAGTGCCCTCTGGCCGATTCGATTTCTATCCTAGCCTTAGCCCCGCATGTCGGTTCCTGCCTCGCACCTCACGGCACGAAGAAAGCAGCACCTACGGTTACCTCTAACGAAATTAATTGCTATCCTTGCCTAACGCACACGACCGATTATGATACCTGAGTGTCGGTCTTCTTGAAAGCCTCGAAGACTTCCTTTTCCTCTTCCTTCCGTCGCAGCGCTTCCTGAGCCGTGTAAATAATCTTTACCACCACCAGCCCGGGGACAACGCACTCTCCCTTGGGATGCCGTATTTCCTCGCCGGTGTTCGGGTCTATGCACTCACAGAACTCGAAGGTGAGGTCCTCGAACGTAGCGATCTTTCATTGTTCGCAGGAAGGGCGGCGGAAATGCCAACGTGATGTGCGGATACTCGTGCGAAGCTAAAGTAGACCACGACGGTCTGGCAACGCAGCAAGTATCTGTTCTTCGACCCAGTCGTGGCCGGAGATCGGAAACGGGAACAATCATAACGTCGTTCTGTATCAGCTTCAACAGTGCTCGTACGGGGTGCCTCGGTTGGGTTTCTAGCACGATGAACCTGCAAGGCTCGAAGACTACTGTAACGCGAAATCTATCGAATATGGCAAGCAAAACTTGAAGGGATATAGTGTATATATGCATAGAACGCAGGGTCTACCGCAGACTTACCGGTCCATAAGCGCTCCGGAGAGTGAGGAGGGCCTTGCGAAGCGCCTTGTGTGAATACTCGAACACAGTTCTCGGCAGAGTTTTGAGGGCCTCTGTCCAGAACGCCGGGCGGAACTCCTCGACGAAGGCGTTCTTCGGGGTGTCTTCGAACAGGGCACTCAGGGCGATCGCCAGGCACCCCACCTTTTCAGGGAAAGGTTCCGTTCAGGCGCACAATGAGGCGTCAGGGGTGGCTGATCCAAAACTCAAATGGTCCCTTGTATCGTGCCCAAACAGAGGAGGAGATCAAGCGAGCGGATTGCATCTGTACCTTTACGACACCAGGTCTAATGAGTAGCGAGACACGACGCACCTTGAGTGTTACTGTCCCGAGATCCCCCTGCCAAAGGTACAAAATAGGATCCCAGGAAAAGTGAAATATCGTGTGCCGCAGACCTTTTTGGTTCAAAGGAAAACAAATTATGACTTCGTTTGTGCGGCTCAGCTCGATTCGCACCGTGCGCAATTCACCTGTATGAAGGTCCACAAACCTATTACCTATTCGAGGAAATAAGCCGATGAGAACAAGAGGATACACTTAACCTTGTCTTCAAAACTTCAAAACTGAACGATCTACCAGCTTGCTCCCAAGACGCTAAAACAAAAGAGGGAAGACCAAAAGTACACTGAAGTATACGGCAGGGAGCAGAACTGTAATATTCTGACAACAGCATTTTCGTCCCTGTTTTTCGATGGCCAATGCTTCAGTAACATCCACATCCCATGACCATCGCGATAGCGTACACTTGTCTATTCAAACCTAAGCCACGAACTCTTGAAATGTCACAAGCGTTTGAAGGATAGAATGCGCACACGGTGCGAGAACGCGTATTGATTTTTTGGCCAAATGTTCCTCACCGGACCACCCCTCCTGCCCCACGGCCTCGTTGTGTGTCTGCAGAACACGTTCTCGCTGAAAACATCCCGGGTCTCCTCGAAAAATATCTGGGCCATCAAATGAGCTACTATCCGTTCGTAGAACTCCTTCTTCCTGGTAGCCTGAAGGTAGAAGCGCGAAGAGAGGGTCGAATTATCCCAACTTTGCAAGTATGAAGGATGGTTCCAGTTGCCTGGATGCTATTTTTCTAGCATCTATGTACACAATACACGCTCCGCTGCGCGTGTGCGTCAATATTGTGCCATGACTTGGGAATATTGTTTGCTTTGTCGAGCGCATGGTTGCACGGAAACATTTCCTCTTTCTTACCCTCAAGTCCTGAACGACGTCGAGTATTGTTTCGGCTGTGAGGGGGTGTCGGTAGAAATCTCCGTTGATGAAACGGTTGATGGCCTGCGGGGACAAACCGAGACGCAAACAAGCGTAGCGGAGGTGCAGCTATGAAACGAATGTCATTCGACAACGATAGAAACACATGAAAGACGCACGGTAGGAACGTCCTCGATTATATATTCTTGAACATTTCCGTGTGAGGGTGGTTGTTGTTGAACGTGTATGGCCATATGCGTGGTCAAATTATTAGTTCGGGGAATATATGGTACTCTCTGGACCGACGTTATTCGCGAAAACACTCACATATTTACCTAGGCAACGTGCACGAAACAGCAGTGTAGGGCAACACTGGTAGACAGGCATCGGACGTCTCTATCGTAGTTTCACATGTTCCTGTTGCCGAGATGAAACGACTTTCTCAACGCGAAGCATCTCACCGAGACCATCAGCAACCTCAGCACTCTCCCAACACCCTATTACCTTGTCAAATTCGTCCAGGTCGGGCGGAGTCAGGTATCCAGTGTTGGACATTAGAACCCCGCAACACTGCGGCACAAGCGCTTCCAAACAAGTGTCGAAACCCCTGGTTTGATTATGATGATGACGAATGTCAAGAAGAACCAAAACGCGGCGCAGACGTTTTAGCCCGATGTAACGAAAATGAGAAGGACCTGTAGTTGACGAGACAAGGCATTTCTGAGATAGGATACTTCCGCTGTTGTTGTCTTGGCTGTCCCCCACCCTACAGGTATATTGGTTGTTGTTGTTGTTGGCGAAAGCCATACTGCCGTTCTACCACGCTCTGCCTTACCATGGCGCATCGGTATCCTCTCGGGCTACGGAGTCGGTAGAAGTTTTGGCAAGTCGTGCGCACCCCCCCCCTTCGAGCATGCCCGTGTTCTATAGTGCGCTCTCCACCAATCCGAACCTGTGGACTCAATCTGTTTAACCCTCTCGCTCTCTAGACTACATATCTACCCCGAGCTTCAGTTATGTTTAGAGTCAACTCCGGTTGCCCTGTGCCTATATCCCGGGTGCATGCGCTAGAATCACCTACGACGTCGCAGCCTTTGAAGGAGTAGGCGGATGACAAAACGCATATGTTGCTGAACGATGCGAGTCACACTGCTGCGTACTGGATTGGACGACATGGGTACCCAAAGTATGGAGCTCACCATCAATTTTGTGCGGTTTGCTCATTGCTGAGCGTACGTGGCTTCGGGTGGGCTTGACACTCGCAAGGAGCAAGCTATTGAGGAAAGCACTCTCCTCAGAACATGTGGCCAGAAAATAGTCTTGACATGAAATGGCAGTTGCAACGTTTTACAGAATTCCGGTAGATAAGCGCTCACCGGAAATCGTGCGCAGAGGTTTGAAGAAAAGTAACGACGGAAATGACGACGTTGATCGATATTTGAAACCAATAAGTATTTAGTATATCAGCAGAGTGGAGCACAAAGCAAGATGAGGATACACAAAAAGTGGCTGTACCTGTTGAGGATGAGCTTATGCAAGAGGTCGATTCGATGCATCCGCACCCTGACGTACTGCATGACGGTGGTGATTCCTTCGGCGAGAAGCTCGGGAGGGGGAGACTTGTAGGGGTTCGAATCCATCTGCACCTCCTGCACCTTCGATAACTGCGATATCGACAACGAAACGGTTGTAGGGAACAGAAAACAGTCTCGGCTTCTGAAACTATCGCGGGTGTGAGCATACCTGTGTAATTACCCACCCTAACATGTACCACATCCATACAACCCGCAGTGTACTATCAATTCGCGATTCACATCTCAAGCGCCACACTGGGCATGTTCGACACTCATACAGATCCTTCGCGTCCTACGACATTGAATTCGCACCAGCTGTCGACGCCACTGTTTGCCACGCGAAACAAACACATACGATCGGCGATGCATTTCCCGGTTGCTTGTCCTTGTCCTCACCTCGACGAAAGAGTCCGGGAGCTGGAGAAGGTTGTTGTTCGATAGCCATAGCTGTCTCAATGTGCCGTTCAGCTTAGGTCGGAAAACCTCATGTCTCAACGTCTCGAGGCGGTTGTAGGATAGCTTCAGGCTCCGAAGCCGGAGGGCGCCGAATCCCGGCGGAAGGTGCGTGAGCATATTGCCATTAACATCAAGCGTCTGCAATCGGGTAGCACATTGCCCGAAACGAGCATCACCGAGAAACCAGGTGCATCAGCATCGTATCGTCTTCAACGATCAAGCCTCGCAGAATTTTCATTCGATCCGTCAATTCACCGAACCAAGAAGGGGAATGAAAAGCGGGTCGTGGCTTGCCACGCCCACAGCGTTTCTCGACCCGACAGTAGGAAGAGTATCGGATTATTTCTGCAGTTAACGTCTCAAAAGGCGTCTAAAATCAATTACAACTAGTGATTTGGTACGTCAGCGATTGTAAAGAAGGACTCGGCGCTTCACCCGTGCAAAATTGGTGGCCAAATTCACGCTCAAAGTCATCCCAACTGTTTCGATTTGCGCCTTTTTGCTGCCAAAACTCAGTGTGAATATCATACCTGCAGTGGTATTCTTGTCTAAACGAACCCAACTTCTAAATAATTCACTTCCACCTTGAGCTTGGCAAGCCCCACAATTTCGTCAGGAAGTTGATAGACGTGGTTGGACGACAGGGTGAGCACCTCCAGCTGGGTGAGCTGAGACAGCGATGGCGGAAGGACTTCCAGACGGTTGCCTGAAAAGACGGAACAAGCAGCCCAAAACAATGGTGTCAGTGTATGGCTTGAATATGTTCCAATTAGACCTCAGATGCTAACCCCAACCCTCTTGTTTGAGAACCATAAGGCGGCAACTAAAATTTGTCAACATAAGTCGCGCAGAGCAAAATCTCCTTTTCATTCTTCGTTGATGCGATGTTTGCCCATGATTTCGTGTTGTTCTCGGTTTGATTAACTTTATTGCAACAAATGTCATGATTCTAGAAAATTCTCGAACTCTCTCCTGCGACTTCTTCAGTTAGCAACTGCCTAGACGTTCTTGGGCGATTTTTCTCGACTGTACTAGAGGTCCCGAGCTCACCGTCTAGCTCCAATCGCTTCAAGAGGGAGAGGCTGCCTATCGCCTCGGGGCAGTCCTGCAAGCGGTTCTTCTTTGCGTCCAAGATCTGGCCCGATTCGAGCATAACGGAGACATGAATCAAATTGTCGCTGAGTTGACCCTACCGATACAAGAGTGTCATCTTGTGGCATTGCACATTGCCTCGGAATTCTGTGTGGTGTTTCAATCCATAGCCCGGCGAAATGTCTGCACTGGCACGAAGGAAAACAGAAAAGGCCAGAAGGCGAATGACGAAACGAGAGAAGCGAAGGTTGACTCGAAACGTTTACCACAAGGAACAATCAATCAATAGTCTAGTGCTGCCATTGTACCCACCTCTAGCATTCGGAGTCTGGTGAAAGTTTCGGGAAGATTCAAGATGAGGTTGGTCTCGAGATACAACTCTTTCAGGCACCCCAGTTCCGCCACATCATCGTCCAACCGGCGCAGCTTGCAGCTTTTCAGAGACAAAACAGTCAGGTTACAAAGAGAAACCTGGCGGGGGGTGCCACGAGGTTGGTCGGCAAAGGGTTGGGGTACGCGATTGATTCGGAGGGCAACGTACAATGAAATCTACAACACACGATACGCCTCCTGCTCTTCTAATACCGTCTGTTTGCCGAAGTGTTGCTGCAACATACTCTGAAAACACAAAAATGGGCCAGCAAGCGCTGGCTTGCGATTCAGGAACACACGTACAAGGGATTGAGTTCCAACAACAGATGAAACGATCCTAAACCACGCAAAAGTGCAACCGATCAGAGGTGGTTGGATTCCTACCAGGAGAAACGCCGTGTCAGGTACGCACGACATTTCACACCCATTGCATCATCCCCCACCTTATTCAATATTACCACCAACACAATGTGGCAGCGACGTACATGATCGAACCAGGTAGTTATTTTCACGTGTCATTCTTTGAGGATCTTGGCAGGGCGTTCCTGTGACATTTATCTCCTCCACCTGGCCCCTCTTCATTCTTAGGGTCAAGAGTACCCTACACTCACCGAATGCGTGACCTTGTCCAAGTCTTGCCAAGTGTGGCGAAACACTATTGTTGCCTTGCTGAAGTCGTTGCTGTCTAGCCGTAGGCTCTTCAGCTTTCTCCCAATCTGAGGATAAACAAGTCCAACGGTGTCCTCTTGCTCTTGCAGTCGTTCTTGTTGCTGCTGCTGCCTTTGGTATTGGTGTTGGTGTTGGTAATGCTATCGTGTTGTGGCTTTGGTATTGGTGTTGGTATTGGTAATGCTATCGTATTGTGTCGTGTTGTGGTCAGTGTTGATATGCAGAAGCCGTTGTCAACTCTGCGTTTCCCGTCACAATCCCAAGCCAACACTCAAGGCCCCAATACAAGGAAGTCACAAATGATCATTCACCACCATGCACCGTAGATCTCATCCATTCGATAAGAGAATCGATGAAGTGGGTCGATATCTCGTGGTACGCTCTCTCTTGGCAAAGTCTGGGTCTCGCATCAACACACATGACTCATCCGATTGCCTTACTTCTTCTTGGAATACCCCCATCGGAAAGTACGTGAGCCCCTCCATCATAAAGTTCAGCTCCCCGCTACGCCCGGCCATTTTAATGCGTTTCGCAAGCTTGCGGTCAAACTCCGGCTGGAGCTCCAGCTTCTCCTCCTAGAATGCATTTAGAACGGATTAGCAACAGTTGTACAAATGTTCATGTGACTATCCGATTGTTTGCCACTCGCATTGTTCCCATGCTCAACAACACGTGTACGTGTTTGTTTTCGTTGGCTATGGTTTTCTCTCCTTTTAGGAGGGCCTTCATCCGATTCTCAAGAGGTATCATACGTTAGTGAGAATGGTAAGAGAGGCAGTCCCATCTACTCTGATGGGCTATCGAGTTGAGGATGGTTCAAGTCGTGGACTTCAAACGCTCTACATAAAAGCTCTACTATGTTTTCGAAGTAAGGCACTTAGTAAATCAACAAAAAACATGACGTGAAATCTCGGGGAAAAAAAATCGAAGACTCGAACGTTGTTTCTTCTATCGGTAGTCCATACACCCTGATGACACACAGGGCTTGTCTAGACCGCATCGGCGATGAAGCTGTAACGTCCACGGTCTGGTACCGTCCTCTATCTCAAACCAAGCACACCTCTTGGTCCTTACGATCCTCAACCCAAAAGATGAAACGGTACTGGGTGGAAACGTGCACGACGAACCCCATCATATCCCTCTACTTGCCTCTATCCCGAAACCGTGCACACGGACGACAGGCGGAGGCCCTCGAACTTGCATCCAATGTCTTTTCCGGCATTCCCACAGCATAGCCCCCATGCCCAACAGCAATAGCTCTGCCGGAGGGTCGGCCAAAGGGTTGTTGTACAGCTACAATTTCCGTTTGAGCCGCGGCGCAGACCGGTTGGGCGAGGGTTAAGGGTGAGGGCCGGGTTGGATGTTGACGTGTAGGTTAGGTTAGTTTGAGAGACGGGCCGGAGGAGGGTGGAAGTGGGGGTGAGAAAATCTCGCTCTCGGCATGGAACAAATGTCGAGCTTCTGCCTATGCTCCAGATATAGCGCACATTAGGGACCGGGTGACGGCACTCAAAGGCTAAGGTTCGCCGTAGCAAACAAATTTTGGTGAGGAAAAGCGGGTACGAGCATCGGGAAAGTGACGCGGCCAAGGTGGCAAAGTGTTCAGGTCGTAGTACAAACGAAAACTCGGCTTCCGCAAATACGTTATGCACAAATACATGTTTCAAGATTGGAATATTAGAATGTATATTATTGTTCACCTGCAGTGTCTTGAGACTGGTCAGAAACCCAACGCTGTAGGGCAGCTTCTTGAGCTGGTTGTTGCCGAGAAGAAGCTGCGGCCGAGCATTGGCATTCAATTATGCGTAGGTGGAGCGCGAAACGATACACGGGTAGGAGGGTATCGAATTCTTCGTTCGTGTTCTGTATTGACGGTTGCATGTGAGGAATCGCTTGTTCTGCGATACGAAATGACCTTAAGAGTACCTTCTTCAGGCCCGACATTTTCATGGCGAAGTCTGGGAAGGTAGCGAAGAAGTTGCTGGTGAGGCACAGCTCTTCCAACCGGTCCAACTGCACCATCGAGCTAGGAAGCTCAGTTAAACAATTAACGTCCAACCTGAAGCAGAATGGCAGTGTTTTTCCGTTTTGGCATCAGAGGACGAGCGGGACGAAAGGGGCAGATGTTTGTCCAGAGACGGACGGGGTGGGGAGTTCATTGGGCAAGGAAAAAAATATATGACCGTGTTTTTGGACAGCATTTGAAGTCCATTGTACTCCGGCGTTGAGAAAATATTTGCAAAAAGAGAAAAGCGATGAGACTGACGCAATTGAAGAGTGTCGTATCACTCAATGAAAAGCCGTCACGGACAGCATCTGGCATGGTCGGTACTATCTCGAAGCACCATGGGTGGGAGGAATGGGGATGCCCTTGGCTTTCTTGCCAAACAGGCGGGAGTGCGATGGGCGGAAGCAAATTCAAAATATTGATTAATACGCATCCGTCGCCTCAACGTGTGTCCATGGGAAGGGACTGGCCGTACGGTGCGTCTTCATCATTCACTTTCGGGGCTTAGCCCGCAGACCATGCTGTGTGTCTTATCGTCGGTGGTTGTAAACGGAACGACCAAGGTGAATCTACTTGACGTGTGAAGAAGGGACACTTCTTGACTTGTGAAATAGGGCAGCCTGCGAAACGCTTCAATACTGGCACCCAGTCCAAAGAACAGTTCTTTATACGGACGCTTCCTGTATATTCATCAGGAAAAAGTCTCCAAACCCTTCCTAACGCATCAGGGTATTGTTCAGTTGCGGTATACATGCTTTGGTGGTTCGGAAAAAGTACCAAATCATGCATTCGATCCTGCAACGATTCAGACGTGCGAGACCATGTCTTTTTCCTACTAGTCATACCTCAGGTGCCTGAGTTGCTTCATTTCCCCCAGCCTCGCCGGGAGTTTCTCCAAGTAGTTGTCGTTTGCTTCCAACACCTCAAGGTTGTGACACCAGCAAATGCTGTTGCAAACGGCGGGGAAAAGAAATCAGTATGAGTACAGTTAGTTGCGTTCGGTGCATGTAAGCCGAAATTTAGCAAGCATGGGAAGGAGGGATGGGGCTTGGCGGCCATGGCAGGCGATGGGTAAGCTAGGCGGCCAACTTCGAACACCAGCTATATCTGATCACGACCACCAATGAACAAGCGTGCGTCACCTTGCCCTCGGGAGAATCATGTCAGCTTTGAGAGGTTGACTAGACGTGGACATCCTTGAGATATCACATTTGAGGCATCTTGAGGACGGTTAAACACCTGCTTGGCAGAGATCGGAGCTTGTTCTGGCTGAGTTTGAGACTGACCAGCCTCGTCATGTCCCCAAGGCGGTTCATGCATGCAGGCATTGCTTGTACCTGATAGTGGTACCAAAACATTGGGGATGGCCGTAGGAAACATAATTGCATGATGTAGCGTGGTGTGACTAGATATCCCAGCCAACCACCGTGGACCAAAAGGGGGCTGGGTTCCTGAAACGTCGTGGTCGCGTGCAAATCTGCCCCTATCCCCTACCTTGCGAAACTGTTCAAGATGCTTCAACCAGTTACCACATTCTTTGCTCGCGCAATTTGTTGTTGTTCTCTCCTAATAGGACTCGGCAATCCTTGGTGGAAACTGGGAGTGGCTACTCTCCAACTGCGGTTGTTGACTGTTTTCCGCGTTCATGAGATCTGTCGCACGATGAGAAAGCCTGAATTCTCTCAGATTATAAAGTATACAGGATATCTTGGTTGATGTAGTACGTCATACGAAAAAGCCTTCGCGAGCCTACAGTTGTCAGACCCAGATATTTAGATTATTATCCATTGATTCTACACGCAATCAACGAGGCTAGATCAGCCATTGGGCTCTCTCACATGGCTGAAGTTGACGTTGTTGATGTAGTACACCTTACCGGTGCTTACATTCAAGGCTGCTTCCCACTCGTAAATGCCTGCACATACCAGAACACACCAAAAACGGAGTTCTGATGGAACGTTTTGATCGGATCGATTTTCATGCGGGCAGCATATTCAACAAGAACCCTAACATATTGGACGAAAAATGTTGTTAAACACCATGCAGTTCCTGTCATGTCTCTCTTGAAGAACCCCACGTTGCACGAGCCCTGAACTTGTTCGAGAACGAAACTGGATGATGTAGATGTTGTAGCCACTTGTTGACCTTACGAAAGACAGCAGAATATTTACATGCACAACACTCCCAACATAGAAATGACCATTTTCCGGCGGAGCAGCAAGCGAATAACGGTTGGAACCGGACAAAACTCTACCAACACCTTGCACCTCTCTTGTCTCCACCATGACCACCTCGGACTATATCAATGTTTTGGGGACTCAGTTAGCTTGGCAATGCATGCCAACTCGCTGGGGTCGCGTGGTTCTTGAGAAGGGATTCGCAGACAAGGAGAACGAAGGGCAGCCGCCGATGATATTTCAATTCGAAACTGTTTGCTTCTCGTTCCTCTTGCCTCTCGCTGCCAGCTCGTTCCTCCTCCGGTTGTACGGGAAGGTCCCCACGGTGAGGGTGGAGTTGACAGATGACGCCGAGGCGTTACTGCTGCGGTTCACCGACGATGAAGTCGGGTCCACGTCTGAAGCCTCCCCGGTAACATCATTCACCCACATCTGGACGACGGAGTTTGTAGCGTGGAAGCACCCCGTAGCACCCCAACGACGTGTCGTTCAGGGAAATCGAGGTTAGGAACTTTTCCAAATCGAGAAAAGGGGTTATTCAGTTCGCCGGTCGGAACTTCGATTGAATAGTGAACGAAAAACATATTGAAATGCAAGGTTCCCCTTCGGGACTTTGGCGATTTGCCTCCCGGGGGCGACGCAAGGCATGGCCAATCACGTCATCGCGGTCGCATGGTTGGTCGTCGGGACGTTCGGTAGTGCCGGATTGCGTGCAGCCTGTATTCGTACTGATTTGCCAGGAATGTACATCGTGTGCGGGGTATTCTGTTTTCTCCCGCCCGGACTTTTCGCTTTTGTGTGTGCCCTTTTTATGTAGGCTAGCGCTGTCTCTGCTGCAGGTCCTACTGCTGGAAGCCGCTACGTTTGATCACTTACTATTCTTGCGTGATCCTGTTTCCCGTGTTCTGTGGAACCTTTTCACGCAATCACCAACAACGGATACAAGAGACGCTCCCAAGAACAGTCACACAGAGACAGACGTAGACTGCTATAAAAGTACAACAACTTTAGTATGTATTCGAATTTTCGTTTTTTCGGAATTGAAATTTAAATGACCGCGCTGCCAGAGTGAGTTGTGCTTGAAGACCTCGGTGTCGCGTGGTGTGTTCACATGGTGACAGCAACACCAAGAGTCTTGGTCCCTGCTGCGGGTAAGCTTGCACCAGTGGCTGTGTGGCAAGTGTGTACACAACAATCACAGTAGCTGTGTGGGCGCGTGGGCGCGGGGCGAGTGGCGCGGGGCGAAAATAAGTTCTGTTTTTCAGTTTTCATGCCGTGCGAGGAGGCCTTTATGGTTCAGATTCTCAACCCCTGAAAAAGAGTCAGTCCCAGCGACTTTAGGCGGCCCTGGCGCGCACCACCGGTGTCTCGCGAGCCCCACACGTAACGGGTAGTGTACGAACGGGTCCTCTGCGTGCTATGCAGAATAAAGTGCGAGAAAAATCGCTGTCCCAGCAGATAAGAAACGACCCGAGCACCAAAAAGTTGAAATCCTACATATTGTAATATGCACATATGGAGAAAATGCATTGACATTGGTTGTCAGAGCACTAGGCACTGCACGGCAGGAAGAGAGGGGAGGAAGACGAACGAGAGGTTGTGACCAGCATCAGTAGCCTTTGAATACGTTTTCAAAGCGTCTAGTCAATCAAACGCCTTGTGATTGATTCTATGTGAGTGGCGAAGAAATGAAGAGGTCGGCTCCAGACCGCGGTTTTTCGGCCAATGTTCAGCCAACGCAACAAGCTAGCCCCCAATGAGTATCTTTCAAAGAGGTTGGACATTAAGTGTTCGTACAGGTTGGTCAATCAAGAAGTTCAGCGATGAATACGGCAGCGCGAACAGGTGTGGTAAAGGAACATTACGTGAGATGGGGATGGTGGGTTCAACACCACCCAGCTTAGGATGGATCGTAGCAGCCAGGAGTAAATGCGTTCGTCCAGGGAACGAATGACTGGCTGTATCCGTCCGTGTGGTCAGCGATTCCCGTGAAAGTCTGGCGTCATCATCAGTCCAATCAGTCGTCCACGGCGAATTTGTTTTTTTTTAATTTTTCAAGAGGTGACGTCATGACCGTGGCTGACGTCAGCGGTCGACCATGGAATTTTCTGCGCACAGGAGATTTCCTTTCAAAAAAAATGAACAATCAGAAAACTGTGGGTACCTCTCTTTTCTTGTCCCTGTTCCACCGCTTGACCCAGCTGGCGCACTGGTCCTTCCCGTTCGACGTCTTGAGGAGGGGGGGCACAGCCAGATGGGGCATGCTGTTTCCGTCCAGCTTGAGGTGCTTCAGCGATGTCAGAAGACCCTAATTGCCAATTTCAGCGTCGAAAAATGTGACAAATTAACTTCCGATGCAGAGAATCGGATTGTTCACCAATACTCTGCGAAGCAAAATCAAGTGAGTTCTCAAATAGATAAAGACTTTCCCGTCGTTGTGCAGGTGTACCATGGTGGGTGGTAGCGTCTTGAGCATGTTCTCGCCCAAATCCAGCTTTTCAAGGCGGTGGAGGTCGCCGAAGCGGTTGGGCAGGTTGGAGAAGTTGTTATGTCGCAGGCTCAGGTGCGTGAGGGACGTGAGATTCAGCAGTCCTTCTGGTAACCCGCTAAGCTTGTTGTTGTCTAGGCGAAGTGTTCTGCAGGAAACGGAGCGTTCAAACGGGCATAGCACGGCCAGGTTATGGAACATTGAAGATTGCCGTAGACGGAGGCATTTTTACACAAGGGGGTGTCGTCGGTGTACGGCAGACAGCTTGAAGGAGGGGTATCCAAAGGCGGCCCTGCGGTCACAGGAAGCTGTGACCGCCGCTCACGGGGGAAGGATTGGGGTGGGGGCTAGCTAGTGAACACATCAGAGTTGATCACGAAACTTAACAAGTCCCCTAGTTGGGCGTGTGGAATGAATCAATCTCTTGACCAACGACGAGAAAGACAAAAGCTGTACAGATCGGAATATGTCCATCGACCTAGCTACCCTCCCATTACCGTTAGGTGTCACGATGTATTTTGCCCCGGATGGCACCCACCCAACTAGCAAGCAACACAACCATCAAGCAACCCAGCCTTCATTCCACATCAAGAGACAAGCAATCCATCTATACTTACTGCTGTCGTGTTCCATGTGTCTCGTAAGGTACTTGGTAAAGCGACGAGTCCAGTGACATTGAGTGCACTGCCACTGCACCATACGTAAGAGAAAGAGATATCACGGCACATGTTTCCTTGAGCGCTGATGTGCAATCAAGACTCAGATTATTGCGGCGCAGTCTCACTTGAGGCTGGTGAGCCTTTGTGCTTCCTCGGGGAGCTCTCTCAGCTTGTTTCCGCTGAGATTGATTTCCCCGACCGAACGCATGTGTGCGCAGGAGAAGTTGGGGTTCCGAAGGGAGATCAAGAGCTCAAGGCTGTTGCGAGGCATGTTGATCTGATCGACACAAACGGGCAGAGAGCGGTACAAGAGTCACATACGATCCATTTACGCGATCGCAACAACATAGGTTCGGTGGGTCTGTGGCAAACTGTCGCCGTTTCGACCAAAACTAGATTTTTCATAGTTGATAAAAAGTTGTTGATCGGCAGCAGAAACTCCACAATGGCCCAGTGTGCACCCAGAGGAGCGGGAGGCCAACTGGATACATGTTCGCGGAAAAGGGGAACAGAAGCACCTCAGCTCGATACGAACCTTGCTCAGCGTTCCCAACTGCATCGTAAGCGTGTTGAACAAGTTGGTGGGCATACACTTCCACCCCTGCTGTTGCGCGTCCAGCC